AAAGTTGAAAAGATCTAAGATGGCTAGCAGAAGTTAAAATCAAAGCCCGGTAGAACGTTCCTGTAAGCTGCGCACTGATGTTGTAACTACTGAAAACTACTGAGTAGATCAGATTGAAAACAGAAATTCCCGTCAACGAATAATGTGAGCAGGTTAAAATAGCAGTGACAAATGCGGTTGTGTCTGTAAGATGAAAAGTAATAGTATTGGAAAAGCACGAGTCTAAAATCTTTCTATCATCTTTGGAGGCGAGATGTCCGATGTGAACAAAATTTTCGTTTATGATAGAGGCTACACTTAGGCCGATTAGACCACAAATTATGCAACACAAACTGAATTGACAAGATGTTAATCCCTTTTATTAAAGTATGTGGTAGGATGGGCGAATCTTAACCGCAGACTCAATATCTGAAGTCAAATTTGAGATATAGTGTCACAAAGGCGCTATATGTTGAGTTGGATGTGAGCCAATCAATCAGATTGCTTGTAGTGCTTCTAGAAGGCAACGAAAATTCTATTGGTTCCTGAAGGTCATTTTTTACCTATAAATACAGCATCACAGCACAGTAATTTTTACGGAGCAAACAAATTCATTTTTTTCATCGTTTTTTTGCCTCACGACTGGAAAGGCTTGTGACCATTGGAGAATAGAGAATCTGGAGAGTTTTTCTGACAGTGAGATTTTTCGCCATGAAAGGTTAGTTTATAGTTGAAGTTTCTTTTGCGGTTATGACAAAACGAGTGCCGAATATAAGTAGTTGCAGATGTAAAACATGGTCAATCTGTACATAGGGTGTTCACAGAACAAACGTGGTATTCAGTCATCGGTAACACCAGAACAGAAGCCGCGCGCGACGGAAGTGGTGCACCGGTAATGACGGAGCTCTGATGAAAATGGAGAATAAGTGGTGTGCTTCACCAACTTCGTTGGACTCCAAATGATTTGGATTTGTCAAACTATCATTTGATACATTAGGCTATGTTTGCTGTTGCTGGGTTCACTTCGTTTCTAGCCAATCCATGACCCTGATTCCAAAAATTAACGGTTTGATGGCCAAAATTGACTGAATTGAGCACTTCGGGTTAAGTGGTTTGAACTCAAAGAAACCGTTGGAAGGCGACGCCATCAGATATATAATGATTACGAATTACAAACAACAATGTCAGACTCAACATTCATGGCAAATGAGCAGCAGTACTGAACACTGATGCGATGTATTTGAGTTTACATTGGGGCAACGAGAAGTGTCAATCGTGTCATAGATGCCTCGATATTAAGGCTTGGTCCCTACTATTGTAGAGCGTATTACGCGAGCCCTCAACGTGTTCTCCAATACATCATTCATATTTCCGTTCTGATAAATTTTTGGACAATGACACATGCAAACAGCCAATGGTGGCGGAGCAGTTGGATTCGACGATCATTTGCAACAGTGTTCTTAACAAAGTCCGAAACCGCCCTCAACGATTACCATACACGTACTCAGTAAATAGGACGAAAGTACATGGCGACGGTTTTGGCAATTAATCGTAAGTGTCCGACCACTCCACGCTACGCTTAAGGTATCTACTTATGTACACGTACGGCTAAAACACAGCAGAAAGTTAGCCGTCATGTGAGAGATGACGAAGATGACAACGCTATTCAAAAGAGTAAGTAATACGGAATGTGCACACATACTTCTGACGCTTTATAGTAGACGAGATAAGAAAACTATCAGTCTTCTCAGCCTAAACAGAAAAGCCGACGTGGTCATAGTTCAAACCCGTAACCATGAATGACAGTCAGTGTCGTTAACATTGAACTGCTTCAACTACGTCTGTCTGAGATTTTACTAAGAAAGCAACAACTGGTCGGTTTGTAGTGTCTTTTTTATGTGGTTCATGACAGTACGGACATTACGCATCAGCCGTCATTGAAAAGCTGATTATCAACAAATGCATTAGGTTTTAGGAATTTGAACCACCTGTGAGTATGCAACATGAGTTTGCTTCGTTCGGCCGTACAACGTGGGCTAATTGACAGAGTAATAAGGTTAATCATTGATGTTTTTATATCGAGAGGAAAACGGATGACTGATTAGTCTAAGCGGCTTGTAATGCTTGAACCATCGAGTTTTTATGTCGACAGAGAAGAACTTAATGTGGCTCGGATGATAACATGATCACGCATGAAAATCAAAAAACGGTCAACTACAAAATATTTGGAGGCATTGACATGTCAGTTTGAAGACCTTGGAAACATCCATGTTACTGGCTGCAGTCAATAACATGTCTGCATGTATACGAATAGAATGTATCACAAACTACCCTAATGCCACCAGTCTTCCATTCAATCTAGCGGTTTTTCCTTCAACCGCAGCCCCACCTACAACAATGTCAAATCAGACTCAAAAGTGAGCATCACTTGATCTCAACAAAACGTCAGCGTGCGATGCCTGAAGCGGATCATCTAAGTAATCGCTGTGTTCGGTTGGACCATGAAGACCGAATGATATAAACAGAACGATCTAAATGCGTCACACTAGTCCGTGTGTACTGCGTCTCCCTGAAACGGTGGTGACTAGCCATCTCAAGTCAACAATAGGGGGTACAGCAACAATTACGTCAGCCCCAAAATTCTGTTAACTCACCTGCTCACTAGACGTGTCCTCCGCCTCGTTTGAACCACCTTTTGTTCAACATATAAACTTACTGACTCTATAAATATACGTAGTCACTATTGTTTGATACTAAAGAGTTTACGCGAAACGATCCCATCTCAAAATTTCCATCATCTCATGACAGTTTCAAACATAAACTGAACCAAATGACAACAAATCAATCTAGAAAGAAAATGAGTATAGACGAAACGATTAATTAGCTATAACATTTCTATGTTTCACAAACAACTTAGCTCAAACTTGGAAAAGTGAGAAAATTTTAAAAAAGCCCCGAGCAAACAATTTCAGTTAGCGACGTACCGGGAAATACGATCCAACGGAATATCCAAAAGGTGATTTTAGAATGGTAACAGGGTCAATAATAACGAAAAATTACCTCATCCAGATCGCATCTAATGGAGAAGGAACTTTCGCTGGTTGATATGAGTTTCGAAAGACGATCGTGTATTTTCTGTAAGGATTAAACGAAGGTTGATTCAAATTCACAAACTAACCTTCCAGAGTGCCTTTTTGTGTTCAATCTGTTCCTTAAGTTGACTGACCCGATCACATTCTACTTAACAATAACAATTCGATAACTCATTATGTACATCTCACTTTGTTTTAAAGAAGTTAAACGTGTACACAGTTGGTCTTCATCACTACCGCTCGGATCAACCCGGGAAAGTTGCAATGGAACCGGCCGGACCAGATTGTGTTCTGTGACACACAGTATTGAGAAACAGCGCAAGAACTTACCAGCAACCGGGGGCCAAGCGTTGTCGTAATTGTAGTAGTCAGTGAGAAACCGGGCGTCGCGGTTAGATACGATATAGGCAAGTGCAAGGGACATATATCTGAAGAATAAAAAAACAATTAGCAACCAACGCGATGCTCCTGTGATGAGAAAACACATTATGAAACAAAGATAAATGACTGGATGAAGGTGAACAATATCCGCAGCTGATGAACCAAAATGGGTGAATAAGAAAAGTGAGTTGAAGACACGTTCTTACAATAATAGCGGCAATGACTACAATTCCGCACCGTTTCTGACAGAATGTTCAACCACAAGTAAGTATTGCATGCTAGACTAAATCAGGGGTGCAAAAACGTCCTATAAAACCTAACAGATGTCGGCGTTTCTCTTCTCAGATCCAAAATCACAGAGTGATAAGCTGGCTGTTAATTCCAGCCTAACTTTGACCACTCGAGAGTGAGAGGCGCAGCAAGCAATCGGATGACATTCAGAAAATTCAACCAATCCACTGAGATCAACGCAGCGATAGGAAAATGCACAGCTGCCTCAATCCGAAACTAATATTGTTGCATGTGATGCTCTACAGAAAACATGGCGACCGAAAACAATCTTAGAATATCACCAGCGTAAATACGGTAGGTGTTTTATGAGCAACTTTGGCATCGCAAGTTTTGGCCTGTGTGTCTTTTTTAAACATCAAAGTTAGTGCGCAGGGGTGGACACCACAGCCTCACTCATGACTACTCACTAGTTCTGTCACACCTAATGTTTTAAGCAATATTCCAGAAGAAAACCGAGTTCCGGTTGTTGAGGCTAAGTCCCAACCAACAGCGCGCTTGTTCGAATTTCCAAGATTAGTGTTCGCTATAGGTATTCGTTTTTCTGCATTATTTTATTTGGCAACGCAGTTCCCATGATTTGTACCTAAAGTATCGTTTTAGTAACTGATTTGTCGTCTACTTCTTGGATCAAGTTTCGTTTACATTTTACTTGGTTGAATGAACCACATCGATTAATACCGGTGTGCCTCGTGACGAAGCCGCAGTTGCTTAAACAACACGCGACTCACTTCACCATCTCCATAGACGTTGGAGAGGAATGGAACGTTTCTACGTCTAGAACGATGCCTATTCCCCACAATGGTTGAACGTGAAAGCCGGTCAATGGACAACTAAGTATATTGCGAGTAGACCGGGAAAATGAGCTGCAAGTAAAGCGCGACAAAAATGGGGCACAACAAACCAGCAAGCAAACGACCGGAAATTTTGCATGATCTTGGATGGTCGAACGAACGAGAGAGTGCAGACGTGCAGCCAAACAATTTCAATAATTCTAGATGAGACCCAACTGTGAAAAGTTAGGGCTTCGGCTGGATTCGAACCAGCAACGGAAACACTAAGCCTCAAAGCGGCAAGCGCTACTACTCATAAGTAACACCATTTCTATGCTCAACAGTGGCGTTGGTGGATTCCAGTGTGAACTGTTCGAGAAATCCTGTCGGGGTAGTCGATCCTCTGGATCATTTGGTGGGTTCTATATGGGACAGTGAGACGGGTGGGTAACCGAGTCCAAATGTGAAAGTTCCGAGCCACTGGTGTGGCTTCGTATCTTAGCTGGTAGAGCGCTTGCCGTATTGGGGCATGGGGCTTCTATCGCTGGTTCTAATCCAGCCGAAGCCCTGACTTTTCACAGCTGGGTCTCATCTAAAATCATAAATCTGCCAAACTACTCATTGGTAATACAATGTCCATAATGCTAACGGTCAAGATAAATAGCAAGACAGTTGGAATAGGTGATAAATCAAAGGTGTCACTACAACGTTGGTTATCCTACAGGTCCGGTTCTACTAAAGTAGTGAATGTATCCATTGGCAGGTTACGTTGTTTTAAATTCTATCTACATCGTTTTCCTTTTCCGTTAGATCATTTATAGCTAAGTTATTTCAAATCCCTACTACGTACCGGGTGCGCCCGACGTGAAGTTTCGTTTTCTTTTGTGTGGGTGTACGGTTTCGCCGGGGGTCTCACACATTTACCTTCCTAGCTCCTTAATTTGAATTCGTTGGAGTCTGCTCGTTTGTAGTGAGTAAACTAATAAAGGTTTTTCACATTTTCGTCGGTCCTCTCACTACGTCTTCTGAACTGCTTTAACGTAAGGCCGGGAAATCTTGAGTGTGCGAACCACCGAGCGTTGAAACTAGCGTCGTAATATGTATGTAGTCCGATGATTAATAACGGAAAACGATCGTTTACGGTTGTTCTCTACAATGTGTTTTGGGAAGTTGGTGTGAAGAAGGCACTTCTGACACAACGGTTGTTTCGGGTGGTTGCTACCATTCGAACACTTTAGTACAGATCGTTAGCGTTACTACTCGATACATTCGCGACAGAGAGGACATCGGTGGTCCCATTAAACATTGATCCCTGCGCTGTCAACTAACCCGGTGAAAATCCTTTAAACAGATTTTTCAGATCCGTTGTAGCTGGGCCAACTAGCCTATCACTATCACATTTCTGCGTCGTATGCAGTGACCATCTGATGAGCAGGGACCGTGAACCGTAGTGTTAACCGCCAGGAATGGAATGATGAAAAACGTACAGGCGCAAAGGGTTCAGTTCTTCATATATTGCATTCTATTATGAGGAATTTCCCAATTATCTGTTAATTCACTGATTTCTTGCGGAGTAGAACTTAAAAAACTTGTATAATATCCCCGCCTCAAGGTATTCCGGTATGAAACAGTGGCACAAAGTATGTAGTTTCAGAGCAGATTCGATTTCGGTGTGACAGTCGGATTGTGGTCCATCTGCTCCGATCACATGAACTGCTGAATTGGTGAGAGCATGTAAGGTGTGTTGAGTTTTGAAGCAGCGAGCAGCAATCGAACACCTAGGGAGGCTGTACCGTTTTGTTGTATAGCAATAGAACAATGAGAAGGAGAACCATACGGAGAAGTAAGGAAGAAGTGAACGAATGGAGAAAATAGAGGAAAGGAGTGACATTGATGAAGGTACACTGGGATATATGTACCCGACCGTCAATGACCATTTCGGGATAATCCAGTTGTCCAGCTGATTTTTTAATGTCTACTGATGTTCCCAAAACCATCGTAGTCGGCGATGCATTCTACGTCAAACAGACGCGGACGGCAAAACTATGTTGTCTGCGTAAGAGGCTGATATGTGGTATAGAAACTTTGTACTTATAACCCCTGAGACTCACTGTATCAGCGACGGTAAAAAGGTTTTTGTCAGGGTGATCAGGGAAGCATAGGATTTTGTGTTAGTATCAGGTCACCTCTCAAGTGCCTGTAGGCTAAAGGAAGTAGTTCGTCTTGACAGACCCTGAATCCTCTCAGTGGCACTTTTCTGGACAGCCTCTAGGATGGTAGTCTCTTCCTTCCAGCATGGCTTATATGCGTGAATGTTGACTTTCAGCAGTGGACTTAACAGTGTGCTATAGATGCATGAGAAAGTATCGATTGGGAAACTTCCGAAAACCCTATTGAGCGTTGCTAGTCTACTATTGGCTTTCTTTACCAGCAGCATAACGTTACTACTAGGAGAGCGTTTTGATGTGGTAACGGTACCTAGGTCGTGCTCCTGGTGGACAAAAGCTAAGGTGATGCCAACGATGCCCTAGTACTGTGATAACGAATGTGTAGTCTGACATAGACGTGTCGAAGAACGATCGATTTTGCACGGACCATAGATGCAAAGCATTCGGGTCTCTGGAAGTCTTCTGCATCCTCAGCGTTGCGGAAAACGCGCCAAAGCTTCGTAACATCAGCATACATAACAGTAAGAGAGTTACAACTGAGAGGTCGTTGACGTTGTGTTGATAGGAAATACTGACATTAGGGAGTTGATTATTTTCAAGTATCACTGGTAAAACATGTGAAAGTACACCGTATGAATCGTGCACATTATTTCACACAGCTGAACTGTTTAGATACTTCTTAGAAGGACTTAGCTTTTGTCGCAGTTTCGTCGTACAGTTTTACACTTCCCGATGAGGTGTGTTTGTATAGCAGAACTGTGTACGTTATCTTCTTTTGACTGGAAATTCTACAGTTTTCCGCTTTGTGCGCTGCACGCCGGACGTTAGGTGCTCGTGAGCTTTGTTTCTCACCGTCGTGGTGACATGGATACTACGGTATCTGTCAACTTCTGCATTACTGCGGTTGGGAAACTCATCAAGTTGTGATTAAAACGTTGTAAACTTATTCCGACAACTGTTCCTCAAAGTCTTCTGTCAGCCTGCCATGTCATCGCAGCCAGTAGGTGATAAATAAACCATCTTTTTCAGAGCAGTTACATCCACAGGGTTGTATATCACACTACTGACTGCGTGAAAAAGCCTTAGTAGTAGAACACGATCCTATGAGCATACAGCCGCATTATTTCCATAGCTGTAGCACTTTCATCTTTCTAATAAAGACGAATGGAATCAGAAAGTGCTCTCAAACGATAGAGCACTCCAATAGCTAATCGGCTAACCTTAGCCAACAGCGTACTATCCGATACAATCGAAACACTTTCGATATAACTCAAAAGCCTTACGTAGCTCCGAACACATCAACTACGTACATGAGCGACCAAAATCAAACTGTACCCTTGGGCTGAGCAACATTTCGCTGGTGGTCACAAGGACCAACTGCTTGCAGTAATTTGGTTTGTCAGGCTACGCGCTTGAAACCGCTGAAATATTCATGAAGGGACCTGGTGAACGCAACGTGCTGCCAAGATGAAGCAAGTCTATATTACCTGGAACCCCTTCAAGATTTCTGCGTCGTCCGAGTAACAGGTTGCAGGAGGCCGTTTGTGAGCGAGGTAATTAGCAAGGCCAGTGGTGAGCTTATCCGTAGCCTGCAACAGCTTTTAGCATGCAGCAATAGGCATTTCAGTTGTCACTCGCATAGTCGACTATTAAACATACACATTTAGAACAAAGGGAAACAAACACCACAATATCGAGCAAAAAGTAATGTGCATGGTTAAGAAAGTTACAACGATGCAAACAGAGACTCGCAACACAAATGCCATTGACTTTTGCTCTTTGTCACATCAGACAGTGTCTTTCGGACCCCAGCCAGCAAACTGGGAGCGCTCATTTTGAAACAAACTTCAGAGTATCTTCATACCCCTAACCCAGATCATGCACTGATCATCGGGCTGCCGTTTCCAGCCTAAACAACTATTCCGAAATAAGGCACGATGTGGCAGACGATGAGTTGGCATTCGCAATATGTGGCCAAATCAACGAAACCTGTGAGACGAGGTCAAAATGCTTAAGGGTCGACAGAGTTTATCCGTCCCAAAGACACCGATGGTCGAAAACATATACTTTATAAACATCCTCCGCGCAAACAGACCAGGTTTCGCAGCCGTATAATAAGATTGCCCTTACGGTGGCATTGTACACTCAGTCTTTCATAAAAAGATTGAAATCATGCCAACGTCACAGATGGCGTAAGTTGGCGAACGCCATCCGAGCCTTTGCTATGTGATTTGTGATCTAAACAGACATCTCACCAGCGCTAATAAAACTCGCAAGGTACATGAATGACTCGATTACTTCCAACAGAAAGAGCAGACGCGGAGCTCTGAAGATCTTACAACACTACCTTGCACTTAGTGAGTGAAAAGGCCGTGCCAAACTGACGAACTGAAGCCTCCAGTCTGTTTAGGGTGTTCGAGTCTCCCTGTGAGCCCTCAAAGATCAGAATGATGTCGCCTGCATGCTCTGTGCCTCGAAGACGAGTATCTGGTATCGTAACCGCAAAAGACGGTTGGCCTGCAAAGTCGTTTACTGCACGAACTCTCGTATAGGTTATGTTAAAACATAGAGTGACGAACACGTACACTCATTTCCACGGTTGACGTGCATTCACACACATTGGGTAGCAGTACGTTGACATTCGCCCTGTTGGCACTTCCCCTGTAATGCGTACACACTATTCCGACAGTCATTTCTGGTCCATTGACTTCCTAGCGTTGAGGTTTGCTCTTTAGTTCCCGAATGTGCGCATTATACTACTCACAAACGAAGCTGCCTGTTACACAATACCTGGGGCAAATCCACACCAGTATAATCGCAGTTCGTCAAGGAACACTCTAGGATCTCACCTACTGCGGAGTTGATTAGTAAGAGGGAAGCTGGACAACCTCATCGCATCCCACTTGAGGTACTAAAGGTCGACAATACGCTGCTATACACTTTAATCCTGCCTGAGGTCTGACAGTAAACTGCTTTCAGGATGTTCAAATACTCCTAACGCACAACCTTCCTCGACAGAAATTTCCTGAGTGCAGCTCTGTCAGCAGAATCGAACGCTTCTCTAATGTCCAAGAAGACAATTGTTGACCTTCTATAAGAATGATGGAGTTTGAGCATCTGGCGAACTGTGAAGATGTGATCAAGGTAGCTATAGCCAAAACGAAACCAGGCTTGCTCACAAATATTTTCTCTGCCCGACTCGCTCAGTCTACGAAGTACAATGGCCGCAATATTCCAATCAGGGAAACGTTCAAGCAGGCCCATAGTGGTGACAAACGTGGCCAGCGCACTCCTTGACGGTCGCCTCTTTCATGTGACGGACTGAACTTTGGGGACCACGTTCGTGGTCGATACCGGAGCGGAAGTCAGTGTGGTTCCCCCACGATCCGCCGAGGCGACC